TGACCCAAAATGACAGAACACTCAATATCATGATGTTTGATTTATTATCCAGTGATGAGGTTGGGAGACCTTAGCTATTAAGAATTTCAATCAGGTGTTTCAAATTTAATTGACCTAACAGTAAGTGGATTTTCTGTGTGTGCAAATGTGCATTGACACACACATTTCACTGAACCACACTGTCTTCAGTATAATCCTATTGTGCTTAGATATATAATAGTTAAACTGATTTATGGTGGAAAATACATTTGATTCAGATCTGTATTTTGCTCAGTGTTCTGTATATTTAACTCTGAGGGAATATAACTTAAATATTAATTTCTATAATGAACAGATGATGAAATTTCATATTCATCAAAATGTAAAATGGAAAAAGACGGGGGAGAGCCTCTAGTTGTTAGTAATCCTGTTTATTTTCTCATAATCCCTTCTTTCTTAATCAGTTTTCATCCCCCTTTAGCTTTGCATTAGAATAGAATTTATCTTTACAATAGCATCTGTCATGCTAGAAGTGTCCCAAAGCATTAACAATAAGCTAAAAAGTGGTACCATAGTGACTCTGTTGCTAAATGTAACGGCCACTATGGATTTGCCAATGAGGACAAGGCAGTTGCGGAGAAGGTAAATGAATCCCTTTAATCAGCCTTCACTGCAAGGGAGAAAGGAGATTCCCAAACCTGAGCCATTTGTTACAGGTGACAAATCTGTCCCAGCTTGAGGTGTCAGTAGAGGTGGTTTTGGAACAAATGGATAAATTAAACAGTCATAAGTCACCAGGACCAAATGGGATTCACCCAAACGTTCTGAAGGAACTCAGAGGTGAAATTGCAGAACTGCTAACTGTGCTGTATGTAACCTATCGCTTAAATCACCTCTGTACCAGATGACTGGAGGGTACCTAATGAAACACTGGGTTTTTTTTTGTTTTGTTTTGTTTTTTTTTAAAAAGCCTCCAGAAGTGATCCTGGCAATTACAGGCCAGTAAGTCTAACTTCAGAACCAGGCAAATGGGTTGAAACTATAGTAAAGAACAGAATTCTCAGAAACCTAGATAATATGTTGGGGAAGGGTCAACATGGCTTTTGTAAGGGGAAAACATGCCTCACTCGTCTATTGTTTAAGGGGGGGTCAATAAAACATGAGGACAAGGGTGGTCCAGTCAATATAGTGCACTTGGACTTTCAGAAAGCCTTTGACGAGATCCTTCCTTTGCCAAAGTCTCTTAGGCAAACTAAGCAGAAATGGGACGAGGGGAAGTCCTCTCACCAGTAACTCGTTAAAAATAGGAAACAAAGCGTTGGGATAAATGGTCAGTTTCACAATTGAAAGTGGTAAATAGAGGGGTCCCCAGGGATCTGTACTGTGATCAGTGCTGTTCAACATACCCAGAAATTATCTGGAAAAGGAGGTGACTAATGAGGTGGCAAAATTTGCAGGTAATACAAAATTACTCTCGATATTTAAGTCCACAGCTGAGTGCGAAGAGTGACAAAAAGATCTCACTAAACTGGGTGACTGGGCAACAAAATGGCAAATGAAATTCAGTGTTGACAAGTGGAAAGTAATGCACATTGGAAAAAATAATCCCAACTATACATACAAAATGAGCTCTTACCACTCAAGAAAGATACCTTGGAGTTGTCATGGCTAGTTCTCTGAAAACATCCAGTCAATGAGCAGAAGCAGTCAAAAAAGCTAACAATGTTAGAAATCATTAGGAAAGGGATAGGTAATAAAACAGAAAATATCGTAATGCCACTATATAAATCCATTGTACGCCCACACCTTGAATACTGAGTGCATTTCTGGTCATCTCATCTGAAAAAAAAATAGAATTGGAAAAGGTACAGAGAAGGCCAACAAAAATGATTAGGGGGATGAAACAGCTTCTATATGAGGAGAGATGAAAGAGTGGGACTGTTGAATTTAGAAAAGTGATGACTAAGGGGGGATATGATAGAGGTCTGTAAAATCATGAATAGGATGGAGACAGTGAATAGAGAAGTGTTATTGACCACTTCACACAATGCAAGAACCAGAGATCACCCAATGAAATTAATAGGTAGCAGGTTTAAAACAAATTAAAAGAATTACTTCTTCACACAACGCACAGTCAGCCTGTGGAACTTGTTGCCATGGGATGTTGTAAAGGACAAAAGTGGGTTCAAAAGAGAATTAGCAGGGTTGATAAAAATCAATGATTTAAAAAAAAATTTAAAAAAATCGATTTTTTTGGTAAAATGCTTTTTGAGGAAAAAAGTTATCTGAAGGTAGTTTTAATGAAGATACATTATAGCTCAAAGATATCTCATCATGGAATAGGGATTATAAATTCTAATTCTATAGTATGAGACCATATATTCATGTAATGTTTAAGAAAAGTTTTGTAAATGAATTCCAATAGTTCATGGATTAGGGACCCAATATTATGGGGTTCCAGGGGCTTCTGTATTGATTACCTAGGTTAATCTTTCTATCTACCCAATGGGACTCAGTGCTCAGTCTAGAAGATACCATCTAAGATGCTTAGTTTTGCAGTTCTCAAACTGTGGATTTGTGTCTCCAGAGGTAACATGCTAGTTAACAGCAAAAATGTTTTTAAATAAATATATAGAGGTGAGAAATAACAGACCTCAACCCTATTGTCCCTCTGCAAATTTGTGTACACAGAGTCAATCCCTTACCTCTCTCTAAAAGTGCAAAGTTTCAAAAAGTTCAACAAATAGAAGATTGTTGGGGGCGGAATAGATCTGGACAAGGAGAAGAAGTCTGGAAATAAACGTGAGAAGTGAGGGACATATGCTTGTTTTGTTAAAATATTAGATGTTTATGTTGAAGAAAAAATCCAGAATACTTAATATTGTTTTAGTTAAATGAAACATTGAAATGCCTTTCTGGTGATGTTCTCCTCCTAATACAGCATGGCAAGAAAATCATCCAAATATTAATGATTATCCTGTTGAACTGGAGATAGTTCACCTCCCAGTGACTTCATAAATATCAGCTTCAGTTACCTTTGGTAAATAAAATAACCAAACAATCATTCATTTTCTGATATAGTTGTAAAACTAATCTGAAAAGTTTTCAAAATAAATCACTGTTTAAAAATGTATAGTGTACCTTCTAAAAATGAAACCTACATCTATCTCTGTGTTGTGAAGAATATGTATTAAGGTTATAACAACCAACAAGAATGTACTTTTAAGTAGAAAACTATGATTAAATTGAGTCTTCCTGACTAGTGATTTAAATCAAATCCACCCTCAGAATTAGATAAGGTCCTGGGAGGATAGGTCCATCAATGGCTATTAACCAAGATGGTCAGGGACACACAACCCCATTCGTCAGTTGTCTCTAAACCTCTGATTGCCAGAAGCTAGAACTGGACCACAGGCAATGGATCCCTTGATAAATGCCCTGTTCTGTTCATTCCCTCTGGGGCACCTGGCATTGGCCACTGTTGGAAGACAGGATACTAGACTAGAGGGACCATTGGTCTGACCCAATATGGCCATTCTTATGTTAATAGTTGTCACCTAGTCATGACCATTAGAATCAGGCCCTAGGTAGTACCATTTAGCTCAATCGGACTATCATCTGTTTAATGTTAATCATCTGCAACAGGATGAAGTCTGAGGTCCAGAACCTCAAAGATATTTAGGCACTTAACTCCCAGTGAGAGTTAGACACCCGAATCCCTTTTAGGAGTTAGACCCGGCTATTGCTACTGGGAAGGGCAAGGTTAATTTTTTTTTTTTTAAATAGTGACAAGTGCTTGACAACATAGAAACCCTTGGAGGCAAAACTGTTTATAGCTCCTGCTTTTTAAAATTTTTTATTTCTTTTGAATAAGGCACCGATGGTTGTTTAAATTTGTAAGTTGCTGCTGTGTAAGTATTTGCTATTGAAATTTAACAGAGAAACTCTAAAAACCAAAACTATTTTAGCTCAACTCCTTAGCTGTGCTGCTAATACCCTGGCACATTAAAATGGAAAGAGTTCTACAACTTCCAATCTCTTGTCCCCCTTTTTGCACTTCATTTATTTTGGGCAGGGAATCCAGCTTGCTCAGTGTCACATTCTGGTTCTCATGCATTAGCAGAGAATGCAGTTGTGCGCTAAGTTATTCAAACGCTGTTTAAACTGCTTTCATTGCCATTTTAAAAGCAATATGAAAACAACCCTAGTTGGGATTTGCAAAGTCCCTCCCCTGTTTTGTGTGCCTATGTTTGCTTACAAAACCTAGGTGTCTTGGATTTGTCTTCCCTGGGGTTAATAGTCCTAGCCCAGAGCCAGCTCCCTCAGGATTGTCCTGGAGTCTCCAGGTATTAAAGATTAATCTTTACTTAAGGATTGTGTCATGTGATAAAACTTCCAGGAATATCTCCAACCAAAACTGGCAACCCTAGGGGAGAAACAGTCATAGAGGGAAGAAGGAGCAAGGAGACTAGCTGGGGAGGCTGGAGGGAACATGGCTGGTCCCTGGGTCCAGGGTGGGGCTATAGAGAAGCTATAGCTGCCCTGGGTTGTGTTATTCTCGGGCTAGTTTGCCTCAAGTACCAAAACCAACGTGATTTTCCAGCGACCTGCTTCCCTTCCCCCCCCCGTAGCTCTTGCCTTTGGCCTTGTCTCTGTGCACCACAGCCCCCTTTAGCCCCCCCGTCCTGCCCCTGAAGCCCCCCAGCCCCCTCTAGCCCCCCATCCCTTTCCCTGAAGCCCCCCAGCCCCCTCTAGCCCGCCCTGCCCCTGCCCCTGCAGCCCCCCCTAGCCCCCTCAGCCCTGCCCCTAAAGCCCCCAGGGTCCTCCCCAGCCCCCCCCCCAGTAACGCCCGGGCGGGTGATCGCGGCAGCGGGGCTCAGGCGCGGGTCTCCCCAGGGAGACTGGCTGGAAACGGCCCTTGGGGAAAAACCCCACGGCGGGGGGGAACCGGCCCCGGTCCCGGGCCGGGCGCGGCCCCTTTGACGCCGCCCCCAGCCTGGCGACGCGGCGGGCGGCCGGGCGCTGAGGGCGGCGCAGGGAGCCGGGCGGAGGCGGCGAGCGGCGCGGCCCAGCCCAGCGGAGCAGCGGCGATGGCCGGGGGGCCGCAGCCGGGAGCCCCCGGAGCCCCCTCGCCGCGGCTGCCCAGGCTGGGGCTGGTGCTGGGCCTGCTGGCCGCCCTGGCCGCGGTGAAATACTATCGGGACGCCGAGGCGGCCCGGCGGCAGGTACCGGAGCGGGCGCGGCTCCGGGGGAGGGTAAATTGGGGGGCGCGGGGGTTAGTGCTGGGGGCTACGGGAGGTTTGGGGGGCTGGAGAGGACGCTGGGGGTTGTAGGGGCCGGTTGGGGGGTGGACAGGACGCGGGGGGCTTCGGGGGAAGAGTTGGGGGGCTGGAGGCTTTGGGGGCTTTAGGGGAAGGGTGCGGGGGTTGTAGGTGCCGGGGCTTGTAGGGGCCGGTTGGGGGGTGGACAGGACGCTGGGGGGCTTCGGGGGAAGAGTTGGGGGGCTGGAGGCTTTGGGGGCTGGGGGTTATAGGGGCCTGTTGGGGGGTGTACAGGACGCTGGGGGCTTTGGGGGAAGAGTTGGGGGGCTGGAGGCGTTGGGGGTTGTAGGGGCTGGTTGGGGGTGGACAGGACGCTGGGGGCTTCAGGGGAAGAGTTGGGGGGTTGGGGGTTAGGGGGGAAGAGGTGGGGGATGCTGAGTGATTGTGCTGGGGGCTTTGGGGAGACTTTGGGTTTTGCTGGGGGGCTCTGATTTGGAGGGGTGTGAGGGGCTGGGGGGTGGAAGGGAGCTCTGGGGAGATGCTGCTAGGGGGCTCTGGCTGTGGGCAGGGGGCCTGCCAACCGGGGCACTCCTAGGATTCTCTCTGCTCTTCCCTTCTTGTCCTTGGTTCCCTGTTGTGTGTCTAAACATGCATTTTTATTCTAATTTAGCAAAGTACCCTGGTCAGATCCCAGCCCCTTTTCCTGAGTGGACCTGGAGAATCTTGTTATTTAGCGTGAAATTTCACTTCTCTCTGAACTGTAATGACCCCCTCGCTCCCCAGCCAGGACAACTCACAATCCAGATCTTCTCAATGCCCCAAATCCCAACCTAGCTTATCCGTAGAAGGGAGAAAAAAACTTACAAAATAAAACCGACACAGGTTCACACGGAGGCACCTACTCTAGCAGCGAACTGGGATTTGTGTTGAGGAGAGAAATTGAAGCACTTGGCTGCGGGTTGTCAGTAATACTGGACAGACATTCTACATATTGTTATTTATGTGTATTGTAGTGCTTAGGAGCCCCAGTGATGCACCAGGACCCCATGTTGCAAGGTGCTGTACAAACACGAAACAAAAGGATAGTGCCTGTCCCAAAAAGCTTACAATCTAAGGCCATGTGTGCAGTGTGGGTGTTACAGTAACATTGCTATGGTAGCGCAACTTTGGTGCTGTAAACCCATGGCGTAGGCACAAACTACAGGGAGAGAAGGGGTTTTTCCATCACTGTAGTGACTTCACCTCCCCAAGTTATGGTAGTTTGGTCGATGGAAATAGGCTTCTGTCAACTTAGCTGCATCTGCACCAGGCATTAAGTTGACAAAGCTATAGTGCTCAGGGGCATGGGTTTTTCATGTCTTCCTAAGTTTTAAGTGCAGCCCAGTCTAAGACGCAAAACAAGTGCAGAATTACAAGGAAATGGTGAGACAGTATTGGTCAGCATGACAGGCACTGGTTTCATCACACCAGTAGCCTAATCGTGGTCACGTTTTTGTAGGTTTCATGGCAGAGGCGAGTTTCAAGGAGAGATTTGAAGTATAATGAGTTAGTTTTGCTGTTGTTTACTGGGAACTGCTGCCAAGCATGACGGTCAGGATTGGAGAAAGCACAAAGATGTTTGGTTGCAAGTTTAACAAGGTGAAGAGGTAATGTCCAGTGACGGTTCTGGTGGTGGGGTGGACTGAGTGTAGGCTGGCAGGCAGGAACATGTTCATTATAATTACATCTTGGGCTGTGGGGAGATCAGTTCTCTGTATCTTCGTTTCCCCATCTGTAAAATGGGGATAATTGACTGTGCCTACCTCGCTGGGGTGCGTGGTCAAGGATTGATTTAGAATTTAGATAGTTTGTAAAGCGTGATGTAAGTGGCATGCAGCCAAAGGTGAGAGATAAGTTATTAGCATCTTAGACCCTGATCCTAGAAGCTGACTCAGGCAGGCAGGCAGCCTCTTGTACCCAGCCAGCTAGTAGCATGATGGGCCTTATGGTAGTAAACTCTTTGGGGGAGGGAATATGTCTTGCTCTGTAAAATGCAGAATAAATTATGAACTAAGGCACTGATCCATTGAAGTGGTGGGACTGCTTACATGAGTACAGCTAACCATGCATGTTAGTCAAATCAGGACCAAAGCTCATAAATTAGCAACAGGATGTATATGTGTAGATATACGTACATACCTGTATGTATTTCTAGTTTAAAACCTCATAGTTGAAATCAGTTGTTAGTGTGCTTGTCAGACCCTGAGTTCAGGATTCTCCTTCTGCTGCAGCAGCTGAGAACCTTTCAGACTGTATAAGGATACAGTTCCCGTCTTAATTATGGGCATTCATGCTGAAAACCACTGCAAGACAAGCAAAGGCACACGTTTACATTGTACTTGACCTTGGTTCCTGTTAGCTCAAAAGATTTTAACTCAACTTTAAAGTGACCTATAAAGAAAAAACGAGCTTTGGGGCCCTCTTGGTGTTTTGTTCTGTATAAAGAAGATCTGAATTTCTTTTAAACTTTTTTTTTTTACACTAGAAATTCAGGTCTTGTTTGCCCTGAGGCTGTATGGTTACTGTAGAACTTGTGAAATGATATTGCAAGAGTGCAAGTTGTGCAACAGAGAAAGAAATAGTGTTTTTTATCCAACTGATTAAAACTTTTTTGTTTTAATAACTATGTAACTCAAATGACTAACATGAACCTTGGAACAAGGTCGTCTTTGTTAAAGATTCTACTCCCCCTGAATTCTCATTTAAGGTGGGAAAGCCCCAAGTGTACATCTAGGAGGACCTCCAGCAAAGATCAGACTGCAAATTCCTGATATTTCAACAATAAAACAGTAAAGAGTAAACTTTTAAAAGTCCTTTTTGGCCTTTATGTATCACAAAAAAGCAAAAATGGTACACGCCCATTTTATAAAAAACATTATTTGAAGGTGACTGTAAAGGGCAAATATCTCTGTCCTTTACTGCTGCTGTAGGAGATGCATAGAGAGTCTGAGAGGATTTCAGTTGATAAAACTCTTTTCTGACTGTCTTTACACAAGAAATATCAGGTCTCGTCTACTCTGCTCTTGCGAGGGATTCAGTGGATGACAGGCAAACAGGTTGGATTGGGAACCGTAGAAGAAAATGTTGAAATCTGAACAGCTGAGAGAGTTTTTCTGTTCAGATTTTTAAAAACTTTTTATCCATTTCCTTTGTTAGCAACTACCTAATTCAAAGGTCTAACAAACACTTGGGGGAATAAATCTTTGTGAAGACTCCGCTCCCTGCCACTATTACATTTGGGGGCTGAGAAAGCTCCTGCTCTTTGTCCTGTCAGCAAAAACAGTGAAGGCAAAACTTTATTATTCCTGATATTTCCAAGGTTAAAATAAATCTTAGGTGCCTTTTTTGGCTTGCTTTAACATGTGTGCTATAAAAAAGCAAAAGGGCACAAACCCAATTTCTCTTTCCCTTTGTCCTTCTTCACCATCTCTCAGAATTTCAGGACCGATTTGCTCACTTCCATGTTCCGGATCATTATCTCCTATAGGGCAGAAGCACTGGGGTTTCCCTTTCAGCAGGTCCATGTTGAGGAGCTGGAGTGTCCATGCTGGGCATATATAAATCAAGAATTCTGATGGAACAAGGCTGTGTGTGGAACTGATGTACTGTTGGAATATTGCCTGGAAATGTGCCTATCAATCTCATTTACTCGATGAGCACCAAGTTTAACTCATCTTGCAGAGGGGAGTGATTGCTGGAGCTGAGATTTGATAGGTTCGAGTCCTGATGGCACATGTACCGGACACACTTGGCCAGGAGTGAGGGTGTGCGTTTACAGGTCTAGGAATTAGTACTTAATTTTCTAGGAAAAAATCCTGCTGCCTGGAAATGTCCCACTGCTTGTCCCGTGTGAAAGATGTCTGAGATACTGATCGGACATGCAAATTGGCTCTTATCTCTCTCTCGAGTAATTCATTCTGGAGTCTTGCAGCACCAATGAGCATAACATCAAACATCTATATTGAGTTCTCTACATCACAGCTGCTGTCCTTGATGCTGTCTGGGACAGCATTTCATCCATATGCATGGGATATAACTGGTGCCTTTCCTGTTTGACGGGGCACTGGAGGCCAAAGATAGAGGTTTCCCAGGTCTGAGTGTCTGTGCTGTCTGCTCACTGTAATGTTGGAAGCCAGAGCCTAACCCACTGAAAGGCTCATCAGCTGTTGCTCTCTGAATGGAATCTCTTGGGGTTCAGATCAGTGGCATTCTTGACCTGCTAAACGGGGGGGAAAAAAGAAAGGACCAGAGACTGGAGAGGGGCCATCGGATAGATGATTGCAGACACCTGGGGAAAAGAGAAGGAAAGGACCCTCTGTGACCATCTCTAGAGCTCTGCATGTGCTCAGGATGGTGTGATCTGTGGTGTGTATGAAGCTGTTTACTTGTCTAAGCTGTTCTGGCTCCTGTGCCTGTGTTCGCTGCTCCCTGCCAGACGGGCTCTTGAGGGGGACATGGGCATTATAAAGGCTGTGTGTTTGGATTAGGGGAGTGACCTCAGCTCCTGGGCGATTCCCATTCCAGTAACGCTAGAATAACATCATTGGTAAACATGTGCATGTAGCTCCGTAGGTAGGTGCATGGCATTTTACACACACAGTAAAGCTATGGTCCCTGTCCAAAGGAGCTTGGGGTGTCTTAGGGGATTGATCCAGTGTTTGAAATAATTAGCATGCTCGTTCCCTTTCCTTCCATAGCATAGCTGTTGTCCGCCCTCTTTTCCAGGTATTGGGTTCTCACCTTGCTTCAAACGGGCCTTCTTCCCGCCCTTCCGCGGTTCATGTTCCAAGAGCTTCTCTGCTTGCCTTTGTTTTTTCTTTGCCTTCCTTGGCCCAGGAACTGCCGTATATGGCTCCAAGTGCTTCTCTCATTGTAACTGACAGGCGCTGAGCCTTCCAGCCTGCATTAAATGGTGTTTCAGGCTGGCAGGCAACAGATGGAAACTAAACTGGTTCAGGAGCTTTGGGGATGTTAATGGTGCTGCAGGCATCAGAGGACACACACATCTAAGCAGCAGAATGAAGAATAGTCTCTTGCTCCTATAGGCTTTGCACAGGGATGGGGGGAGCTGTCTCCCATGCCAGTAAAGCCCTGGATCTGCTGCTGAATGGCAATGAGGAATATGACTTGTCTGACTGCCCCACCACTCCTTTCCTTCACTCTGTCTCATTTTCTTCTCCCTCAGTAGAGCAGCTCTCTCCTTCCATCTGTGTATTGTCTCTTTCCTCAACTGCGCTTGCTGCAGTGTGGAACTGTCTGCGTCTGTTCCAAGCGAGAACTGCATTTCTGTAGCCCAGGGGTTCTCAAACTGGGGGTCGGGACCCCTCAGGGGGTTGCGAGGTTATTACATGGGGGGTCACGAACTGTCAGCCTCCACCCCCAAACCCCGCTTTATATCCAGCATTTATAATTGCTAATTATATAAGAAAGTGCCTAATTTATAAGGGGGGGGTCGCACTCAGAGGCTTGCTATTTGAAAGGGGTCACCAGTACAAAAGTTTGAGTAAAACTGCAGCCCCTTCTGTTCGAGGAGCTCCTGTATCTTCAGATTGTAACAAATGAGGCCATGCAGGCTGCTCCCTGTGAGATCTGAAAGGATTAGTGTCTGATGGGGGAAACTGAGGCCCAGAGTGGCTGTGATTACCCACTTCCCAAGGTTAAACAGTATTGATGGCAGAGTAGGAATAGACTGCATGAGTCCTGGATCAGTGGTAGGATCACTGGGCAACACTCCCCACCAGGAGCTGTGAGGTGGAAGCTCTTGCCTAATCACAATTTGCTTATGTGCTCTAGGATGTGAACGTGGTTCTAGCTAGAGCGGGTCTCCGTGGCAAGTGATGTCTGTGGATATTGGTCGGAATGTAAATGTTGATTTGGCCGGGTTCACTTCCTTTAAACATGGGAGGGCCCAGTTAGCTCTCCTCCTCCTTGTGAAAAGTGACTCTTTAGAGCAAATCCTCAGGTAATCATTGGTGAAGTTTGAATAGTCTATATTTGACCGTCTTCATTCACGTGACGTTGGCTAGCTACCTACGTCACCGTGTCAGGATGCTGTAAAAATGCCCTGTGGTGAATGCTCACTAGCAGCACAGAGCCTCCTGCGAATATCAGCAGCTGGCAACATTCTTGCAGGCCCAGAATCACTCGCTGCTGCAGTTGACAGATTCCTTGGACAAAGACTCACTAAGAGAGAAGACAAAACAGAACAAATGATTTGTTGTCAATTATTTGTTGTTCATCCAGATATAGTTTTAATACATTCATGGAAACTGTTCCTGGACCCCAGTCGCTATTGTTGATAGTGCAGAGTCCTGCTAACATGCGTTACTCTTTTTATTTGATGGCTTTGTTTGCAGTTGTAAAGGATGTATAATAACTCAAGGGCTGATGGGGCCTAGATGAATTAGTAAAACCGCTCCAATTAAGACCTACCTGCCTCTCTTCTTCCCAAACCAGGAGATGGCCTTGAAGTCTCTGGGGAATGAGGGGCTTTTTCTCTTCTCCTCTCTGGACACTAACAATGATCTGTACATTAGCCCTGAGGAGTTCAAGCCAGTAGCAGAGAAATTAACAGGTAGGTATTTACCTTGCAAGGTCAGTTGTGCAATAAAGGAAAGGAAGGCTGAAGATCTCAGCACTGCATGTGCACAATGGCTAATTATCTTTTTTTGTGCTGGTCTGGGGCTGATTTACACAGCGAGGGGCTGCAAAGCTTTAAGTGTTTTTGGAAAGGCTTAAGCGCCAGACACCACTTTCACAAAGTGCACTTTTAATAAGACTGAATCTCCCTTTGTTGGACAAGTAAAGTGCATAAGTTACTTTGTCCAGGGCTTAAACGGGATTTGGAATGGATGAATACAACGGATATAGCTCAGCACTGGCTAGACCAGAACTATTTCATTCATATTTTCCTGTGGCTTCCGAAGTCTCTGTCATGCAGTATCAACGTAGCAAATGTTTCTCAGCTATGCCAAAATGCATGAAACCCTGTGATGTCAACATAGCATGCAGGAGGGATTGAACTGCAACCGAAATACCAGGAATACTTTCTCATAATGTAATGAAACAGCAGCGTGTGTATCTGCCCCCTGCTGGATGTCCCAGAAACCACTGAACCATGTGTCATAAACTTTATACTGCTATCAATTAAGGGGAGATTCTCCTTTAACTCAAGTAGCAGGGACTTGTGCCCTTGAAGCAGGTGGGTCTGAGTTCTGTTGCTAAGGGCTGTCACATGCAGCAAAGTGACAACTGCAAGGTTCCACGTACCTGCCCATTTGACTATTATAAAAGTATAATCATTTCCCTATGGTGTTAAATAATTGTTCTGTTTAGGTGTTACTCCTGTCCTCGAATTTGAAGAGGAAGAGACACTGGATCCCAGTGGGGAGACGCTATCAATTGTTGCTAAATTCCAGCCCCTTCTCATGGAAACAATGACAAAGAGCAAAGATGGTTTCCTAGGAGTAAGTATCATACATCATGTGTATGAATAGAAAACCCAAATTCCCAGCAAAACCCATGCAATGTAGTAGAGGCTCTATCTACCCCCATAGGAGTGAACATATAGTGCTTATTTTGTCAGTTGTTCCTTCTGTGAGCAGAGATCAGACTGAGCCAGTGTGCATTGGTGCATTTTGGCATTTTTGCTGGTGGCATCATCAGTTTATTCAGTACTTAAACATTTTTTTAAGAATACATGTACGCTTCCAGCTCTTATGAACGTGCAGAAAATCTTCCGTACGTGACCCGGTGCAGTGTTGTCTACAGGAATTTGCAAAACCATTTGAAACAATAGCTTTGAGAATCATAAACTGCCCCCATTTCTCAATGATATGTTAACTCTGGAGTGTAATGGTGCCCACCTTATATGTGACTATTTCCATGGCATTTGTTGCCATGTTATCTGACTACTTGCATTATCAATTTATTTTACTGCTGGCCATTTTTTTGCAGAAACTTCTAGCTAATGTGGGATTTTACATGGTGCTTTGGATTGTGGGTGGAGTTTAAAAGGAGTACCACTTTCTCTGATGCCAGAATCTGACTTCTGTGCAATGGTTCATATCCATCTGCCTCCTATAGAACAAAACTCTTCAAATGTTATTACATCCCATTAGCTGGTTCTGACACGTGTTTCTCTTTGTAGATTGCTCATATTGCACTGTCTGGCCTACGGAACTGGACAGCCCCAGCAGCCCCTATGAGCATAATGTTTGCCAAGCAGTTCAAAGCCTTTCTTCCCCCAAAGAATAAGATCGAACTCGGCGATCCCTGGTGGATAATCCCAAGTGAATTAAACATCTTCACCGGCTACCTTTCCAACAACCGGTTTTACCCTCCGGTCCCCAAGGGCAAAGAAGTAAGAGCACCACTTAATATGAACAGTGATCTTTCTCGGGTGGGAGGATATTGCTTCTAACAGATGCTTCCATATTGTCCATTTTGCAAATTTCACATCCTAATGAGCAGCAGGTAGCCAATATCATCTTGGGCTGTCCTCTCATCAGATCTCACACACTAAGCATGGTCACCTCGGTGCTTGGATGGGACGGCGCCAGAGAAAATGTGCGTGCTACAGGGAGTGGTGGGGGTGAATCAGTAAAGCCTTGTTGAGGATGTTCAGCCGCTCTTGGAGGGAACCCTAGTGTAGACAGTTCTCTAGCTTGCGCAGCTGTTTCCAGCGCCATATCAGTTGCATTTATTTCTATACTAGGGTTCCCTGTAGCCGATATTAGTGGAGTTGAATGAGTCTCAGGCCAGGTCTACACTAGAAACTTTTGCTGATATGATTACGCTGTTAGGGGCGTACGATTTTTATGGCATTTCTTTACCAGTAAAAGGCCTGGTGTAGACACAAATTATATCCGCAAGAGTGCTTTTGTCAGTGTAGCTTATTTTGGTTGGGGTCCCAGTATATATCTACACAAAAGGGGCGGGGGGCAGTATAGCCAGCATCACAGAGAAGGAAGCAGCAGCAAATGACAGAGAGGAATGGAGGCGGCTAGTTTCCACATGTGTGCCATTGTTGGCCTGGGTAGGATATAATATATAATGTAGACTGGGCCTTACCAATGGTGGAAACGCTCTGTACAGAACTTCCCTAGTGTAGATGAGGCTGTAGTTTGTCACTTCTTTGTAAATTGATGTCGCAGTGCAGTGTTAAGGGAGCCATCTTTCAGAGGAGAGGTAAAAACCAAGAATTTTGTTTGCGGTCTCAGAAGATCCAAGGCATTTATAACAATAGTACGGGGTATCCACAGCAGCCAGACCAACTACTAATCAATTTAAATAACAAAAATCCTCATTTAGTCTGACTTGGGTAAGATTCTCCACTCCCCATCTAAACTAATTGTGTAAAATGAATGTGCTTTGTCAAACGGTGACCTCATGTTCCACCCCACAGCGGTCAGTGAAGTGATTCTTGTATGTGGTCTATAAAATCAGTCTGTAAATGCTCTGCCCTCATGGGTGTTTGGTTAGGCTTTAATTCTGCCATATTGAGTACACTCCAGTGGATGGTGTATGCGATCACTTCAAATTGCAAACTGCATCAAAGTCTTATTGTTCAGTATAATGCACAACATGAAATCCGATCTGCTTGCAGTACTCAGCCTCTGTGCTCTGGAAATATTGCGTATATGGAAGATAATGGTTAGTACGCTTCCAGACAGAGGATAAATGTGCAAGGTGGTGGAAAACTATAAATTATAGAAGGGAGTCCAAAAAAATGGAAGATGGAAATTGTTAGCTAGATCCAAGTCATGTTAGTTGTTTTATCTTCCTGTCCTTGTAGGGGAGTAGTTTTAGAAGTGTAGCTTAACTGAGGTCTACATTAAAGGCCGTTGCTTTCATTTTTTTTGCTACCTCTCCAATTCTTTCCATAGATCGTGATTCACAAACTCTTGAGCATGTTCCATCCTCGTCCATTTGTAAAAACTCGCTTTGCTCCCCAAGGAGCTGTGGCCTGCATCCAGGCAATCAGTGAGTTCTACTATAGGATAGCGTTCAGGTAAGAACTTCCCAAATGGGACTGGGAGGTGCAGGGTGTTAAAGGTGGGGATTGGTGCTGTTTTAATTAGATCTGCATCTTTGTAAAGACCTAATTTCCCCCCCATTCAAAATAGAATCAAAGCAGCTAGTATAATGTGGAGGTTGGGACTTTCACAATTAGTCTGTTAATTATGTTCAATCTGTTTTGGGGGTGGAAGAAATCTACGAAAGGGGCTGTCAAGCAAAGGGGTCATGACACTGTCCCGGGCTGCCAGGAGACCCTGGGGTTTGATAAGACAGCATTAGATCTGGGGAATGGGAGAGGGAAAATATGGACACGTCCAGCTGGCAGCAGCCCCATGATTTCCCCGTCCTCCAGGGAACATAAACCAGGAGCAGCATGTGGGCATGTTACTTAATTGTGATTATGCTCCCTAACAACATATGTAACTGACCGAGGGCTGCTAAGCAGCTTGCAGAGGAGAAGGGTGTGTCCTCCAGGAAGTGGCTTTGAATGTGTTACTTCCCTTACGGCTCCATCCATGGATCCAACGCTCCTGTTTTTGTCTGAACTGACTGGGTGAGAGGCGCTATTGCCCTGTAAGTCCCCAGTCCCAGGTCTAAGCAAACGCCCTCTATTTGGTGATGTCCAGAATCAAAAGGGGAGGATCTAACTGTTTTAGTCAACAGATGGAGCAGTTCTCTAAAGCCAACAGTCCCTAGAAGAGTGATTCCTCACGCTGCTCTCGTTCATCTTGCAGACAGTTCTTGTCTAGTCTGTTCTGTTCAGGTCCTTGTATGTCCGTTATCATATGGGGAAATCAAAGCACAGGGAAGTTAAATGCCGTTATCACCATAGTATCTGAGTCAATGGCACTGGAACCAGGAGGGCCAGGGGGCCATACCCTTTCCCTTTTTAACATGGTGTAGTTTTGGGGGGCTGGGGGCGGTGTTGCCCCCCGCAAACTGTAAGCCTCGGGCAGGTGTGGAGCAGCAAAACGCAGCTCCTGCTGGCACCTCTCTGCACCTGCTCGAGACTTGCAGCTGGGGGGGGGGCAATGCTGGCCCCCCAAACTACGCCCACGTAAAAAAGTGGGGGAGGCATGGCCCCTGTCCCCTGGTTCTGGCACCGGTGGCTCCCCCACTTCTACAAAGGTTCCGGCACCCTTGATCTGAGTGCCTCCAGCAGCCCATGAAACAACATGACTAGCATCTGGCATGTATGACCCGTTCTCTCTCCTTCTCCCTGGTTCTTGGTCTTGCTTAGGGCACCAAGGCTGATGTTGATCTTCCTGTTTCAGGATCCATGCCGAGTTCCAGCTGAATGAACCTCCAGATTTCCCTTTCTGGTTTTCCCCTGGCCAGTTCGCAGGCCACATCGTCCTCTCCAGAGATTCCTCCCACGTTCGAGAGTTCAAGCTCTTTGTCCCTAACAAGAGGTATGACCATCTCTTTTCAGTGTACGCTGAACAAAGACCTGAGATTAATTGGAAACCAGAACATGAGTGAAGCTCGAGGGGCTCTGCGATCCTGCAGCTGTGCTGTGTGTGTCGCAGATCTAGAGGATGTTCCTTGCACGTACGGTGCCATCTCCTGTCTGATGATCTCAAAATGCATTGGCTGTTTTAAACAAGATTTGCATCTCTGTGAGCCAGGTATCCCTATCCCCATCATGTATATGGGGAAATCAAAGCACAGGAAAGTTAAATGACTCACCTAAACTCACACAGAAATCTGTGTTCGGGTACGAACTGGAACCCAGGAGTCCTAGGTCATTATCCCATGCTCTGATTACCAGGTAACAGTCTCTCTCCTCCACACAGTACATAAATTACCATGCGGGTAATAGTCTATAGTCAGATTTCACTCTTGATCTCTTGGGACTGGGACCCAAGAGAGCTAGAATCTGTTCCTGGGTCTGTCACAGACTTGAAGTCACTTTGGGTTCTTTTGCCAAGTTGCTTGAACTTCTGGGCCTGTAAAAATAAGGAATTTCTCCAATCTGTGCATGAGTCTTAATGAGTGTTTGTAAAGTGCTCGGAAAACTTTGGATGAAAGTTACTAAATGTATATTCTCCTCTTCATTGCTTGAGCTACTGCAAACCCATATTCCCGAGGAATGTCTGGCTAGCTACCCTTGAAAGAGTTCCAGAGATGGCTTAGTTTGCAATTAGAGGTGAGGCTGCTGTTATGACTATTGCGCATGCAGCAGGGCCATTGAAAGCCCCAGAAGAATCATGCAACGCCTGTGTTCTATTACACGCCTCCGGGCGGTTTACATTTTGCAATAAGTCCCTTGTAAATAAAAGTGAAACAAGCTCCACTGTTGTCATACCTAAAACTGAGAGAACCCCATATTGCAGCGGCAACACGTTTTTAGTAGAGCCACTGAGAACACTTAGCTTAGCAAAGGATCTGATTGGTTTAACATACTGTAAAATGGTAATCCTTGAAACATCGGGATGGGGAGAAAAACCCTGGTGATCTCCACGTGTGTTTTGGTGCACTGGAGTCTGGCATAGTGTGACTCACTTGCTTTGAGATATTCTTCACTTCATATTTCAAAGGCTAATGTATTGTGTTGTATAGGTTTACACACTCTCATTATTTCTCTCTGGCAAGTGGCTGGAAGCATTTCAGGAGATAAAAGCTGACATTTTTCTCGGCCCACGGTGGCTTGAATCGAAATTGTATACAGAGCATTACCCTGGTGACTTGATACTTGCAGTTCTGGCAGCATGTTCGTTATGGGAGCTCTTTGCTTGCAGAAAAATATGTTTTACAGGAATGGAATTCCCAAATTCTCAGGGTTTGGAAGGAAGAAGGGATACTCCTCCCCCCCAGTATCTAAACACATTAAAGCTCATGCATGACTCTGCCTCTCCTTTCGTCATATTGGGCAGACACTTGGGCCCTGGTCCTTCAGTGGGATCCAAGAGCGGTGGACCTACGCAGAACCCCACTGACTTCAGCAGAGCTGTGCAGTGTCCCTTGCGCACCTGGCCTTTAGTCCTGAATCCGGCCTCGGGATGTTGGATGTTTAGGGAGAAATGGCTCAAGTTTAGTTGAGTTATCAAGTGCAAAGCTCTTTCGTCTGCACATGGCTGTTACTGAATGTGCTGGATTCTCCTGCTAGGTCTCTCAACGTTGACATGGAATGGCTGTATGGGGCGAGCGAAAGCAGCAACATGGAAGTGGATATAGGTTACCTACCTCAGGTGTGTAGTAACTTTCTCTCCTTTATGTGTGTGCAGCATCTTAGTTGGGATTCCTTGTGATCCACCCCATGGCAGCCTGGCAGTGTTACCTCTATCACTGTTGTTTTTCATGTGGCTTCTTGTAAACTTGGATGTGATCCTGGTGTTTCCCGTGTATATGTGGGGCACTGTGCAGAAATGCCACCCAGTGTTCCTAACTCATTATTTTTATCATGAAACACAATATTTAGTGTTTTTCTTGAAGCCTGAGCTCCTGGAGTCATGTGATTACACGGGAATCTTGGTTTAAAAATTAAAGTTCTCGTATGACCCAGATGGCTATAGAGGAAGAACTTGGGACATCAAGTGTCAAAATCCAGAGAGCAAATAAAAAAACATAAAATCTATTTGGCTTAAAATTAATTTTTTTTTTAAATCTGATGAGTGGGGCTGACTTGTGATTTTTGGATGTGAATACAAATCGAACGGACGATCTATCCTGTTTTCATTAAAATGACTCTGAGACACTCGTGTGTACATCTTTGTTCTGGCATGGGCCTGCACTTTGGGGGTGGGAACTACAAATGTAACTTCCTAGGGACTAAACTCTCTGACCTTGTCGTGTAGATGGAATTAGAATCTTCAGGGCCGTCCATCCCTTCCGTGATTCATGACGAAAACGGCAACGTGATGGACAGCCGAGACCCTGCGGGGGAGCCGATTCACTTTGTGTTTGAAGAGATAAACTGGCAGCGTGAACTAAGTGGGGAAGAGGCAGCCCAGAAACTGGAAGTTGCCATGTACCCATTTAAGAAGGTAGGAAAATAGCCCACTCCATTGCTGTGTCAGCATTTTGTTTGGAGGGGGCACTCCACTGAGATGCTCCAATCATCCTGGAGAACTACCAGAGCTACGGGGCAAGGTCCTCTGCTAGTTTGATTTAGAAATAAGAGGTGACTATAGACGTATTAATATTCTGCACCTCGAGCACCTGCCATCCAGGTGCATTGCCATTGGACTTGGATGAATCCAGCCTCGCAACACTTCAGTGAGCTAAGTGTATGATCCTGCTTTACAATTGGGACCTGGGGGAGGGGAATGGTCACAGAGAAGCCCAGGGCCTCGCAGGACACCGGTGGTGGAGGCTGGAATAGAGTCCTGATCTCACATGTTCCAGGCTTATACTTAGTGTTGGCTCACTCCTCATTATAGTAGCTACTGGTGCTATTTTGAGAGAGGCGAATAATGGTGGTTTTCTTGTTGCACCAGCCGAAAACCGCAGAACTATCTTAGGGACTGAATTTTCCTTATCAGCGGGAAATACACAAAACACTTGTGGCTCAGCGCCTTGCAGGGAAAAGTGAATCTGTAGCACAGGGTGACCAAAATAACTTCATGCTCCCGTGGCAGTTAGAGTGGATCGCTGATTCCTTGGCTGAGGGGAAATGTAAGAGCAGCCGTGGGAAAAGATGTCCTTTGGAGCAAATATTTCCAAGATGTTAATAAAGTTCAGTGTGTGTGAATGATTGGAGACATCTTTCTGCAGAGTGTCTCTGTGGCTAGTTATTGATACCTTTTCTAAGAAATACTCCTGGATATGTTTGGATGAGTAGAGTACACAGCTGTGTGCCAACACCTGCTCTGGGTGTGTAAATGCGGACAAATAGCCCACGCGCTTTGCTGACGTATCCGTAGAGGCATGCTGGAAATCGGTCCCTAGGCAAAATTGTTGAACAGCGTTTATGAGAAGAAAGTACAAGATGGTTAAAAATTCCTTGAAGACTCAGGTATCCTAGGTAACCATGCCTCTAACCTTCCCAGTTCTTGCCTTTCCATCGTTGCTTTCATCCGGGGATCTCATAGCACTTTAAAAACAATGAATTGAACCTCATTCCCCACACCTGGCACAGGAGGGAAGAGTTAGCTCCTTCTGTACACGTGAGACTCATGGAGAGACCTTCAGCAAGTCAGGGGGAGAGCTGGGAATAGAACCCACAAGTCCTGGCAATAGCTTGTGATTTAGAACAGCTCCGCTGCAGATTAAAGGGATGGTATAATCCGGTGGGAGGCAGGAGAGCACAGAGGCTTAATGTAAGGCCAGGAGGGGAGCTGAGAGTACCGCTGCTGGGGTTTAGTGGCTGTGTCTTTACTTGTACATGTGCCTGTCACATCACCTCTAAACCCTGCCTCACCCCATGGGCTGATTTGGGATCAGCTTCTCCAACTGGCTCTCTGCTTGCAGGTTTCGTACCTTCCCTTTACTCAGGCTTTTGACAGAGCGAAAGCTGAAAACAAACTGGTGCACTCCATCCTGCTGTGGGGCGCCTTGGACGACCAGTCCTGCTGAGGTGAGCTGCTGCCGACCTGTAGAGGTGTGTTCAGGGGACTCTGCAAGAGCAGCCAAGCCACCTTCCCCTGCCAGCTGGGCAGGAAGGGCAAAGAAATGCTTCATCCAGGCTTCCGCGAGGCCACTGGGATCAGTGGGGAAACCAGCTGCAGGTGTCTCCTGTTACACTGCATTGGTAGCAAAGCCCCTGGGTTTGAACTAGAATTGCTGCCCTAAATTCTGGGAAAGGGCTGATCAGAACCCTGCAGCTGCAACCTATAATGGGCCCATACCCAAATTCAGATGTTTCATCTTGGGGAAAGATTGGAGCTAGGTTTCAATCTGGTGGCTTAAGCCCATCTTTACTTCTAATAGATTTATACTGGGGTAGCCCACAGTGCTACAGCATGTTTCCCTCTTCTCCCTGTGATACCTCTCTGCCCCTGCCCCACATCAGTCTAATCAGGCAGCTGCAGCCTCTGGCGAATACAGCACGATTCTTCCCCTGCCTGGCACCTTGTATCATCTCGCATCTGTGCATAGTGGGTGGAAAATGCTGCTAAATCCAGGTTCTCCTTGTCTGGCACCCACTCTGCACAGGTGTAAAGGCAGCCCAAGCTGCAAGGCCAAGGAGAATCAAGCCCTGTACCTCCCAGAATGCAATGAGCCATTCTGATCCAAATAGCCTACTCTGCCTGCCTGGGACTGCTAGTTTCTGCAGGCTGCGTCTGGGTTAAAGGGGAAGATGGCTGCAAATGGTTAATTTACTCTTGGAGCACCCATTGTGTAGGGGCTCACTTGCAGTGCACACTTAAAACAGTAAATTACATAACACAGCCTGTGATGGGTGTAACTAAACCCTCCTCTCCTTGCTCAGGCAGAAATAAAATTTTTTGTACCCTATCAGGGGTGTCCCATTCAAGCTGCCATGGTAGCCTTCAATTGGCAAAGCATTAGCACCCCAAGTTACCCCTGCAACATTGTGTGTCAGGCAACTTGGCAAACCAGTCTCTCTCTCTCTCTGTGCCAGGTTCGGGGCGAACTCTCCGGGAGACGGTCCTGGAAAGTTCGCCCATCCTTGCTCTGCTGAACGAGAGCTTCATCAGTAGTTGGTCACTGGTGAAGGAGCTAGAAGAGCTACAGGTAAGCATCATTGTAGCATCTGGCTTCCATGCGTGTAGTGCTGGTAAAAGGTACCAGCTTGACAGTCCTGGGGACTGAAGAATTTACAGAACAAACGATAGTCCAGTGGCCAACATTTTAGGGATGTCTGGGTTCAATTCCCTGCTCCGCCGCAGGCTCCCGCAAGTCGCTTGGCCTCTGTGCCTCACTCAGCATCAGTAAAATGGGACGAATACCCCTCCCTGTCCTGGAGGGGTGTCCTAGAGATTGAAGGTCTCCCATGTCCTTAGACAGTACTGCGTGGGCAGTCCTGTGCCTCTCTCCCGACCTGAAGTGACCGCTCCCCCTGGCCACGGGAGGGTATTGCACTGTTGCAGGTAGCTCTGCCGATGAATGCCAACAGTGTCACATAAAGATTTATGCAATAGCCAAGAATGGCTGGATAAATAGCTGACGGGTGACTGGATGGTCTGCAGAGCCTTTCATCGCTATCAGTCCAGGTTAGGAGAGGCAATTGCATTGGAAGTTTGAGTTTCTGTCCACTTCCCAGGAGGACAAGTGGTTGTGCAATGTGGACGCTAATTAGCTCCTGTGTTGGCTGCCCTGGATTGGCCTGACTGAGGCTGACCTCCTCCTGGGGGTCCCTTTAGGTTGAACGGGGTGCTCTGGCAGGGGGAAGCTTGTGCCAAGTCTCAAGCCGTGCGTGTTCTGCATGTATAGGGCGGGTGTCTGTCTCCAGGCGTCTCAGTCAGACTCCTTTCACTAGAATAAAAGCAATGCACAGATGGAGGTAAGCTAAGGAAAGAGCGCGGGAGTCTCCCTTTAAACAATTGCCGTGCCAGTGTTAATCACTAACCAGGGAGCTTCATCTGTAGCTGGCCCTGCCCTATGTAATTACCGTGTCCGTCTCTCCATGCACCCCCCACCACAGGGGGTTGTGAAGTGTGCACCAAGCTAAGTGCTCCGGCTTCTGTTGGCTTGTAGCAGACCCTTAGTAGATCATTAAGGGTGCCTGTTTCCTAGCTCGTTAACGTCCGTCTCAGCTTATGCTAGGAGTCTAGATGTCGGTCAGTCACAGTGATCCAGACTCTGAGTATCCAGACCTCTGGCGAGCGGGCAATGGCAGGGGTGATATTGACTATACGGTGACAAGGTACATTCTAGTGGGGTGTCCTGACTGAAAGAAGCAGTCAGGCAAATAAAACAGGATCCCTTTTTTTTAATGTTACCATACTGAAGAGCTGTTCGGTCTTGCCTTTGCTGCCCCCACCCTATGTTCCTTCTGGTGTTCCCACGTGCATATTGCATTTATTTTTTCTCCAGTCCATTAGGCGTGATACAAACTCTCACTCTTCTGGGGTCCTTTTTTTTACAGACTAAGAGGCAGAATGAATTCTACAGCAGACTGGCTGACCTGCATCTAGAGAAATATAACTTCCCCGTGGAGATGATGATCTGCCTTCCCAACGGAACCGTGGTACATTGGTCACGTCGGGTGGGCCAGGTTTTGGCCTTTCCATCTGTACCCCACTCTGTCCTCTTTTCCTCCCCCTTTATTAAGAGGGCCTTTCTCAGGGAAAGGCTTGAAAACTACCTGGCATATGTTAGGCACTAAAATCTACATGCTAACTGTACTTATTGGGGTGACCAGAAACGTGGTAGCAACCATATAGAGGAGCATATAATAATTAATAAAGTCTCCCACGCCTCTCATGTCTACTCCCTGAAGTTAACTAGTATCTAGGGTTTTTTTTCCTGGCTCTGCCATAGGGGGATTCCTGTATGTTCTTGCCCAAATTACCTAAGGCTTGATATTTTCAGAAGTACCGAGCAGCCGTAGCACCCACTGTGGTTCATGGGAGCTGCAGGTACTTAGTGCTCTTGAAAATGAGGCCATCAATCTCTTGGTCCCTCCATTCCCCGTCTGTAAAATGGGAGCCATCCTTGCCTTCCCTCCCATAGGGGTTTGGAGGCTTCATTCGTTGACAAAGAGCTTGGAGAACCTGGGACTTAAGGTGAAGGGCAAACTACCTAGTAGTTGGCTATAGGCTAATGCACTGGATGATGCAGTGTCCTTGTACCTGTGCTTATTCAACTCCTTTCCTTTCCCAGATTCATCATATCAATGCCAACTATTTCTTGGATATTACTTCTATGAAGCCTGAAGAAGTCGAGAGCAGCATCTTTAGCTTCTCAACCAATTTTGAAGATCCTTCCACTGCAACCTACCTCCAGTTCCTGAAGGAAGGACTGCAAAGAGCCAAACGGTTCCTGCAGACCTAAAAAAAAGGCAAGTGAACACCCAGCAAAGATGGCCAAAGATTTTAGAGTTCTTCTATTTTGATTAAGGCAATTGTTCCTGATCTACAGTGGTACTGATACTAAAATGTAAAATATTCTAGGACTGGAGTCTTGATCTGAATAGTTGGGCTGTAGATTCTAGAATACATCTTTTTTTTAATACTTAAAAGGATAAGTTAAGTGAAATTAGAGTTTAGGAAACTTCTACAGGAGCTGAAATACTATAATTTATATACTTAATACATTGTTTGAACATATGTCGCAAAGTCTGATCTGTTACCAGTCCTCATATTTTCCATCTTTAGTTAAAAGATTGTGTATAGTAAAACTCCTGTTATAGCTACGTTGACTGAAAATCAGAAATGCTTGTTATCTAGGGCCTACTTTCAACTCTCATCACTCTTGCTGCACAGCACCATGCAATAGTCCCAATGAAATTAAGTGCTTATGTTAAGTGCTACTCCAAGTGAATAAGCATTGCAGAATTGGGTCTCCAGTGTAGAATGCTTTCTACAAGCATTTTGCAAACTACACCAATTCTCTTTGCTTCTTTGTGCAATTCAGAGTGTTGACTCTGATCTGTAAACTGTTACGTATTTAGGTCCTGAGTAATTGAGATGGCCTCTTTGAGTTGCTACAGCGGCCAGTCAGCTTGGACACCTTTGCTGACACTGTCTAGATCTGAAGGTAGGATGTTCTAATTGGAGAGCATTCAACTCTAGAAATAATCCACTCCCAGGTCTGCTAGAGCCCAAGTCAGTTGTGCTTCATGGCATGGTGTAAGACCCCATTTTATTTATTCAAGCTTTTGCCTTTGAAGAGGGATTATCAAATTGATATGGTGCAATTGGCAGTGGGGAATTAATCAACAAATGTCTTCAGTGTTGTTCAGTGCCTTGAGAGTTCTTATTCTACGAGGTGTCCTGGATGTGACTCCAAAATGCCAGGGTCCTCCAGAAGTTCTCCCATTTCCTGTACAACATGCTAGTGTCCATATTTACTTTTTTTTGCACGTTTCATGTGTTCAATTTGCATGATGTAAATAAATCCAGTCCTCCTCCAGAAGCAAAATGCAAAAGTTTCTTTTGAAATGGAAGGTTCATATTGTTTCTTGCACATTACCTCCTGTAAAATTTAAAAGTGTTTTTTTTGTTTTGTTTTTTGTTTCTACTAGCTGCTTTGAAAACTGCACCTGAGAATTTTCAAAGTACAAAGAATGAAGGAGAACTTGCCCAGACAAAATGCTTTTCATCCTTCATCTCTAACCATCCTGAGCAGCAGCATTTACTTTATATAAGTACTTGGCCACAAGACAAACGTGGCTTGAGAGTGGGGGTTAAATTTAGTTAAGATCAGAGAGACAAATTTTAAATCACAAAATTCTTCTATTATGAATGATATAATAACTATTGGATTTTACATAAGAACATAAGAGTGGCTATACTGGGTCAGATCAGTGGTCCATCTAGCCCACTATCTTATCTTCCAACAGTGTCCAGTGCCAGATGCTTCAAAGGGAATGAAAAAAACAGGGCAATTATCAAGTGATCCATCCCCTGTTGTTCAATCCCGCATCTGGTAGTCAGAGGCTTAGGGACACCCAAAGCATGGGGTTGCATCCTTGACCATCTTAGCTAAAAGCCATTGATGGACCTGTCCTCCATGAACTTCTCTAATTCTTTTTTGAACCCTGTTATAGTCTTGGCTTTCACAACATCCTCTGGCTACGAGTTCCACAGGTTGATTGCACATTATGTGAAAAAGTACTTCTTTTTGTTTGATTTAAACCTGCTGCCTATTAATTTCATTGGGCGACCCCTAGTTCCTATGTAAAGGAGTAAATAACACTTCCTTATTCACTTTCTCCACACCAGTCATGATCTTATAGACCTCGATCATATCCCCACCTTGGTTGTCTCTTCCAAGCTGAACAGTCCGTCTTTTTAATCTCTCCTCATGTGAAAGCTGTTCCAGTCCCTTAATCATGTTTATTGCCCTTCTCTGTATCTTTGCAATTTCTAAGATATGTTCTGAGATGGAGTGACTAGAACTGCATGCAGCATTCCGGGTGTGGGCTTTCCATGGATTTATATAGTGGCATTATGATATTTATTGTCGTCTTATCGATTCCTTTCCTAATGGTTCCTAACATTCTGTTAGCTTTTTTGACTACCACTTCACATTAAGCAGAGAACTAGCCTTGACGACTCCAAGATCTCTTTCTTGAGTGGTAACAGGTAATTTAGACTCCATCATTTTGTATGCATAGTTAGGATTATGTTTTCCAACATGCATTTATCAACATTGAATTTCACATGCCATTTTATTGCCCAATCACCCAGTTTTGTGAGATCTTTTTGTAGCTCTTCACAGTCTGGTTTGGACTTAACTATCTTGAGTAATTTTCTATCATCTGCAAACATTGCCATCTCACTGTTTACCCCTTTTCCCAGATCACGTATGAAAATGTTGAACAGCACATGTTCCTGGGGGACCCCACTATTTACCTCTGTCCATTCTGAAAACTGACCTTTTATTCCTATCCTTTGTTTCCTGTCTTTTATCCAATTACTCATTCATGAGAGGACCTTCCCTCTTAACCTAGGACCACTTAGTTTGCTTAAGAGCTTTTGGTGAAGGACCTTGTCAAAGGCTTTCTGAAAGTCCAAGTACACTATATCCACTGGATCACCCTTGTTCAAGTGTTTGTTGACCCTCCTCAAAGAATTCTAATAGATTAGTGAGGCATGATTTTCCTTTACAAAAGCCGCATTGATACTTTCCCAACAAATTGTATTCATCTATGTGTCTGATCATTTTTAAAAAGGATTGTTGCTTTTCAGTAGCCATAAACCGTTACTTTTGTGGCAGCACGTTTTAATGCACGTTCCTGTAGGTAGATGAGACAGCATCCGTGGTAGACAATCAAAAGCAGCCAATTACTACAGACAAATAGCAGAGCTGTTGTCACCTTTTCTGCTCTCTGAAGCACATTTGAGTCCAAAACGCACTCAAGGGACCAAATGAAAAGGAGAACACCCCCCAACGCTCTGTACTGTTTGGGTATCTTGGTTTTTTTTCCTTCATGGGTGTGTAACCCATGACAAAAAGCTCACCCCAACCCACTTGTTGTAGTGACCTTCACCCATGGGATGTGTTCAGTGGTGAGCTGGAGCTGGTTCGCACGAACCGGTTGTTAAATTTTGAAGCCGGTTTAGAACTGGCTGTTAAAGGGGTGGGCAAACTGTGGCCCGCGGGACCGTCCTTTCTGTCCCACCTGAGCTCTCGGCTGGGGAAGCTACTACAACACCCCTTGAGAATTTTTACTTACCCAGCGGCACTCCGGGCCTTCGGCAGCACTTCGGCTGCGGGTCCTTCACTCGCTCCGGGCCTTCGGCGGCAGGTCCTTCAGTGCCGCCAAAGACCTGGAGCGACTGAAGGAACCGGTTCTTCAGCTTCTGGCAACTCATCACTTGATGTTTCCCAGTATTAGCTTTCTAACTGTGTTGTGTTTTGGCTCCGGCTGGCATCTCTGAAACATTAGAAATACATTACAGCCTCAGGTTTGGCAGCATGTTTGATGGTGATTGTGACAGTTCAGTGTCTGTAAACGGTATTGTCTGAACAAAAAGAACCTTGATCACTCATGCAGGTAGCCTTAGCCACACTGCAAACATGCAGTATCCCCAATGTTAAAGGGACTCCATTGGCTCTGGCTGCGATTTGGGGATCGGGGGGGAATCCTAAGCCTTAGCTTAGACCAGGGGTGGGCAAACTTTTTGGCCGGAGGGCCACATCGGGGAATAGAAATTGTATGGCGGGCTGTGAATGCTCACAAAATTGGGGTTGGGGTGCGGGTTCCACCTGGGGGTGCAGGCTCTGGGGTGGGGCCACAAAAGAGGAGTTCAGGGTGTGGGAGGGGGCTCTGGGCTGGGTCGGGAAAGTGGGGTGTGGAGGGGGTGAGGACTTTGGGATGGGGCTGAGGATGAGGGGTTTGAGGTGCAGGAGAGGGCTCTGGGATGGGATCGAGGGGTTGGGGCGCAGGGGGAGGCTCCAGGCAGTGCTTACCTCAAGCGACTCACAAAAGCAGCGGCATGTCCCTTCTCCGGCTCCTACCTAGAGGCACAGCCAGGTGGCTTTACATGCTGCCCCGTCCACAGGCACCACCCGTGCAGCTCTTCTGGGGGCATCGCTTGGGGTGGGGGCAGCATGCAGAGCGGAGCCTCCTGGCTGCCTATATGCATAGGAGCCGGAGGGGGGACATGCCGCTGCTTCTGGGAGCCGCGTGGAGCTGCCCCAGACCCTGCTCCCTAGCAGGAGCTTGAGGGCCAGATTAAAATGGCTAGCAGGCCAGATGTGGCCTGCGGGCTGTAGTTTGCCCACCCCGACTTAGACCAACCTTTAGGTTTTATAAAACTTAATATAATTAGAAGCACTTTCATTGCTTTAAAAAAAAAAAAAAGTCTCAGGGGGTTTTAACCTTTCAACCACCCCTTGTATAAATATCCTCAGCTTGGGGAAAGAGATCAAATGGTCTGCCCTCTGTCCAGCTTTGCAGTAGCAGAACCAAAAATTACGGGTCCCACGTGAACAGCTAGAGATTGTTTTCAATTTCTTGCGGCATGAAAAAAGTGGGATTAAAATATAAAATCTCCAGGGCCTCCCTGTCTGCATCCAGGAGTCATCAATGGCTCTGACCTTAAATCAGTGAGAAGTGCTTTATACCTGTACTCAGAATCGCTTAAATTTTGCTGGCAGTGCTGTTAGTGCAAATGACCCCAATTGGAGGCAAGAAAAGCATCACCGGGAGCTAAAGGTAGCGATGATGTGATTGCATCGTACTACTGTGGTAAGACAATCGGTGCAAGTATTTCTCTCACTGTTGTGCTAAGGTGCATCCGTCACCACAGCAGGATAACCAGGAAGCAGTGCTAGGAACTCTGGGATATATTCACCGAGGACAAAGGGCCACAGTTAGCACAGCATCAGTGTGGACCCAGGGCAAAACCTTCCACTACTACAACACTGAATGTGTCTACGGGTAGTGGAAATTAGAACGGTTGGGTTGACGTTGATTGATAGGGTACCAGTGAATCTTTAAGGCAGACAGTGCCTAAGACATTCCCAACCAAATTAGAACCCAAACCGAGACCTATGGTATCCTTAACATTATCCAAAACGGCTACATCTCCCTCTTATGTCCCTGAAATGGGCATTTTCCCCACCTTAATTAGAATCAGCTCATTAGAAATTAAGCTTGGTGGGAAGAATTCTTCAGTTTCAAGAATAATCAATGTACTCCAGGGGCTCGGAAGCTGTTGCATGGCTCTCAAAAGGCGTTTGATTCCAGTATTAATCTTGCAGTCGTAAAGCTGCCTAGAAGAACTATTTGCTGTTTTTTACTATTGTTTAATCTTTGATGGAGTTTTGAGAGGTGAACTCTGAACAAAAGCGGTGTCTTAAACTTTTTTAATATGCGCCAGATTTTTCATATTTTTACTGTATACTTCATAGGCTTTTATAGGCGGTTTTGATATCTCCGAAGAGGATGGAAGTAGAAGCCTTTTTTCCCCTGATCATCTGTGCTTTGTGACGGCCTGATCTTAAATCATTAATGGGTCAGGGCTGATTTCCCACAGCTGTAATTCAGGGAAAAACTTATTTCATTTCCTCCTCCTCTGTGAGTTTTTTAATCAGCATATGTAAAATATATTTTCATCTTGCCCAGAGACAATTCACGTTTAGAGGTGAACATTCTCAAATCGTGTATTTTTTACAAAAGTAAATGTTTCCGTTATGATGTGTGAGACTAATTTTAAAACACTGTAGTCCGGCTATGCTGGACAGTTTCTGTAGCGGTATTTGAGAGAGCTCAAGGATTATTTAGTGTAGTGGAGGGAAGAATTACCCAACATAAAGGAATACCAGCCAACCTATAACTCAGATATATACTGTGTGTCAACCATTGATGCTCTTCATTTGTGTTCCCTAGTCATCTTGGAATTAAACAGCGGTGTGGTAATAAGCTAATACACACAGAGGTCAATATGGAATAATGATTTTTGTGTTTTGTGCATACCTCATTCTTCTAAAATGGCTTTACATACTTAAATACCTATTTATAGGTTTGTTCATAACTGCACCTGCAGAAAAACCATTACATTAAGCATTAGCTCAGTGTTCTGATTGAGCTTTACAGGTAATTCTTGTGAGAAATGTTCTCAATTTTATCATCTGTACCAGCTTAGTTCACTCATTTTTGCGTAGTAATAATAAAAAAAAATCTGAAAAATAAATGCTTGTTTGGCTTGTCATTTGGATATGTTGGCAATTGGACTAAATCAAGACTTGTTTCCAAACGAGTAACGTGAGAAAGGATTAGCAGGGTTGAAATGGCTGGACACATATTGAAAGATAGGAGGCATAGATAGTGTGAGGGAGAGGACGTCAAAACTTTTAACGTCTCAAGGCCAATATTTTGAGCCAGAGCCAACACAAAGGTCAACTCAGGGGTGAAAGTAAAATTGAAAACTTACCAGTATGGGGCTGGCTCCGCCCCCCCAGGAAGGGGCGGGGCCTCAGGTGGAAGGGGTGGGGCTGGAGGGTCAGTGTCCCCCAGCCAGCCCTTCCATGCTGCCTGGCTTGTGCTGCCCAGGGCTCCAGTGGTGATGTAAAGGGCCCAGGGCTCTGGCTGCTGCTACCGCAGCAGCGGCCGAAGCCCCAGTGCCCTTTTAAATTGCCAGCCCTGGGGCAGCTGCTCCTCTTCCCCCCAACCCCCCCGTTGGCAGCCTCGAAGGGGGCAAAAAGGGCAGTGATGATAAAGTGCTGCCATGGCAGCACTTCAAAGAAAGGTGGTAGGGGCCGGTACCGGCAGCCACCTTTTACCAGTACGCCATACCACCCCGTACCGCTTTACTTTCACCCCTGGGTCAACCCTCTTTGCATACTGCAGAGCCTCAGACCCATACAATCTCATTCTTCCTAGGCAAAACTACCTTTGATGCTGCTAGAAGTTTGGCAGTGCGACACCTACATTAGAATATTGCTGTCAACTCTGAACCTCACCAAGAATCTTAGAGGGAACAGATGGTGAAAGTTCTGGAACTGACAAAGGAATCCAGAACAAAGTCCATTTTTGAGGCGACTGATTCTCCTGTAGTCTGGATGTGGATAGACTCAAATGCCAAGGTATTTAAAGTTTGACTGGGTAAGGCCAAATAGGCTATGTTGCCATAGAGATGGGATTGGAGTTGAGATGCGCTGACTCCTGGACCCTTCCTCATGGGGCATGTTTGTGTCACTTTTCTGCCAATGGCTCTAGTCTCTTCTTTAGCAACTGGCCTATGCCCAAAACTCCACAGTAAAATCAGGAAGAAACTGAGTCAGACAAGGTAAATTCCCTTGTCGCAAACTGATTGTGCCCGACTCCTCTCAGAGAGCTCTGGCTTGAAGGGTTACGGTACTGGTGTAGTGGGGGTGAAGGACGTTCTGAAATGGAGTGGAGATCAAACCCCTCACTGCTGAGCACCCCCTAACAATCCAAAATCACTCTGCATTGTGTCCTTAAGCTAAATCATCCCAATCAGCTATGGGAAGGCCCCTTGCAAAGTGAATAATGCTACTAAATTGCTACTACGTATATACCGTGGCCTTCTGGTCTTTGATTAAAAATTGTTCGGGCAGTAGGAATTGGTGTGCAATGGTATTTGATAGCTCTGGTACAGTTGAGAGACTGGGTAACCTCCAGCATGGAGAAATCTGTCTCTGGAGGGGTGGAGAGTAGGGATATATTTTGCATAGCTGAGTTGTGCACCTTACCTGTGGGAGCACCAACCAGCCTTTGGGAAGGATGTATGCCACCACAGGAATGTAGGCATCTGTGTGTTGGAGGGCAGGGAAGGGGAGCTTTGACAATGCCCGTCAAACCAATATGCATCCTGATTTGGGTACTCCTTCAATGTGTCCCCTGTGGTCGTTCCTCACCCTAACCAGTCCCTGCATGTAGGCTTCTACCAAAGCACTAGGTAGAAGGGAAGGAGCAAGGACAAGAGCAGCATGTTGGTGATGGGGCACTACTGAACCTGAAGGGGATCAAAGGAAGGTAGAGCTGGTTAGGAATTGTCCCATGAAAGAAACAGTTCA